TCTTTATGACTTGAATATGAAAATAAACGACAATTATATGCAACAGACACGTTCGTAAGACACCATAAGGTATTGTAACGTTAATGCTATTATTTTACATATAAAAAGCATTGACTAGTACGTCATGTACCATACCATTGGAATGATCCAGTTATATTACTCACGTATAAACTCAAAACTCTTTGTCGACTAATAGAAAAAAAACGTGAAAACAACCTCGCACCTGAGTGTACCAACATTTGTCAATATCGTCGTTAGTCCTATTTATCAATTTTAAAATACACATTGAATTGCTGCAGTACTGTGCATTTCAGAAAATATAGACAAGGCATAAGAACAATTGGATAATTATTTTGCAACGCTTTTTATGTAGTCGTTTTATTAGTTTTCTATAAAAAACTGAATTGCCCATTAGCAAACAAGGATGCAGGAGCCATATCACCCTGCAATTCACAACTGGCAACCCACTGAAGCTAAGCAGGTAACCCTGGTCAGTACCTGGATGTGAGACCTCGCTGCTGAAAGCGGTGTTAGTAGGGCCAGTAGGGGGCGCTAATCCTCCAGTCTGTGCGAGTCCTAATGGCTCAGTATAGTGACGGTATAGATGTAAAAGAGTAGGGTGTTACCCTGGCATCCTGGCCAAGTTTCCCATTGGCCTTAACCAATCCTGTCCTCCTAATAATTGCTGTCTTTGAATTGGTATCATCACTCCAATCTCCACCCCGCTGATAACTGGTGCGTGGTGAGCGTACTGGCGCACTATAACTGCCGTCACATCATCCTGCTGTACAACGGTGGTGGTGACTAAACTACGATAGGAAATGCAATGGTAGCATTTCAGGAAATGTGTGCTTATTTTGAGTACATAATGCTGAGAGCATAAATCCTGTTATTTATCACTACATGTTAAATCCCTGAATTGGAGGAGGTGGTTAGAAAATGGATGGATTTTAACCGATTACTAAAAACAAAATCCACATTACAATTTAGGACATTTCCCACTACACCACTAGTATCCTCAGACTGTAGTTGATTTTACAAAGAGAACCTTACACATACACACCCTGACCTACAACAAAATAGTACACCTAGATCTAGCTATTCTAAATATATTAATACCTACATTAAAAAGTTTCCAATCAACAATCAATTAATTGCCCCAAAATGCTGTTAAAAAATTTTAAAATAATGAATTTGTGATTGCCAGCCACTTAAACTCAAGCCCAGAGGAATGCAACAGGACAGTACAGCAATACCGGTTTCAGTACTCCTAACAAATTTTCAACATGGAACGGCAGTGATATGATAAAACAGTTTTAGTATATTTCAGAGAAAACTTCAAAAAGATAGGTTTTCCATGTTTTTGGAGTCTGAAGATTTCTGCCAATAAAATTAATGATTTTCTAAAAATATGTAATTATGGAAATACATGAACACAAATAACAAGGACATTTATGTCTGCTTAGTCTTAACACCTATCAAACCAGGGTCAAGTTATGGAAAAACCATTAAAGTAAAGGAATGCAGAGATCAACACAAAATGAACTCTTTTGTTTTTTTATTCAAATACAGAGTCCAAGGTTGTTGAATTTCATTCAGAAAAAGGTGTTTGGTCTCTTCGTGGTGAAGCGTGGCTTGTGCTGGCGACGAAGAACTCTGTGTGGCAGAGGGAACTTGATCTTGGAGTCCTAGACAGAAGAAAAACTATCGTCAGCAAAGAAATATCCGGAAGAATTTAACTCCAAAGAACCCTGCTTCCTTTAAACAAAGACATGGAATGCACCTAAAAGCTTTTGCGTTCGATCCGTGTAATTAGGAAATGGGCTTCATCTGTCTTAATGGTCACTGTGTTGGTCTTTTGTCTGTGTTAAATGAAATGATCTCATCCAGCACCAAAAAGACTGAGATTTAATTTGCATGCGAGATACAAGCTTGAGCTGTAAAACCTTGAGTCAGAGATCTTGGACACAATTACTGTTTTCTCTTCTTGGGGGGGGAGATAGGAAGCTGCAGGAAACGGGAAGGGTTGAGGAGGAAAAGGTGTAAAGGGGAATGTCGCAAATCACCCTCAAACACCAGTGACCTCCTTCAACAATACAAGAGATTGGGAAACTAGATTACAGTGGTAGTTGGGCTGTGGGGTACTTATTTATTACAATTTTAACTGTAAAATGACATTAAATTAGATGCTGCTATGTGAGTCTGAAAAATATCTCCAGTTACATATTTTATCAATCAACAATTGTATGTTTTCTGACAATCTATTATAGAACTGAGAAGAGCTGTTACACCTTGATTTCACTTCCATTAGCACAACAGCAGATGAAAGGCGACAAGGTGCTATTATTGTTTGCACACACAGCTAGAACATTATACATTACAATAATGTCCTTAGGGTTTGTGTGCATTTTTGTATCATAGCCACATATTTAACCCAAGAAATTCCCATTCTTTTTAACTGTTTCATGTTATATTTTTATTCCCTCACTGCACAGGCTATTGCATCATTCCTCTCGCCAAAACAATATATGTTTAGAGTACTTCCAAAGCCCTGCATAGCCTAGGCTTTGTAGCTTTCAAGCCATTAAGTAAAAAAAAAAAAGATTTGTTTTGGTACAGAAACATGCAGAATGTACAATTATGGGGAAAGAAAAAAGTTTCCCTTGTTTGCCAAAAGACTAATAATAAAAAGATGGAAGGCAAAGAGGATACAAAATGAAAGGAACTACTGTAGAGGATGAAGTCAAGTTAGAACTACTAGTAAACAGACAAAACAGAACTGCAAGGAATCAGAGCGGAAACTGTAAAATACTTAAAAAGGCCCGGGCTGGGAGAAGTGGGAGGTACTAACCACCTAACAACGCAAAAGAAGACGTGTTTTCTAAACTGTCAATTTCTCATGACTGCAGATACTGTACAGTATTTTCTGTTGCTTAAATCATTTTTGGATTTAACATATGTTCTGAAAGATAATGGAAGCACATTCTAAACAAGGTAGTAATTCTAAAAAAAGATATTTGTCCTTGGCAGTTGTATTGTGTGGGGAATGTGGGAATCAACATTAGGATGTGAATTTATTTTAAAAGAAGCAGATACTGTTTCTGACTGTACTTAACAGTAAAGATCCGTCTCTAGATATGTGATAAAATTCTTAGATTTATAAACTGAATAGTGTAGCAATAACCCCCCCCCCTGAGACATTACATTTTTTTCTCAGGTTTATGTGAATCTTTGTGATAAGAGGGTTGAGAAGTTAACTTAAATCTGAAGGACTCCATTATAAGAATCAAGATGTTCAGAATAACCAGATTTCCATCTTTTAATGATTATAGCGTATGATTTCTGTGGACAGCGTTTGACAGGAAACACCTGTTAGGTATAAAATTCACCACAGATAACGAGTCGCAACAGGTCTTGTACATGTTCAGACTTACATGGAACTGCTTGATAGCAGGTCTACGACACTTGCTAGCAGGGATCTCCTCCACCTTCATGATCTGGATGGAATGGGCACGAGCACGATGGCGAGCCCCCATATCCCGGTCTGAAAAATTCATGACAAATTACAACAGTCCCGTAAGTCAAATAAAACACCGTGAACAGAAAAAAACTCATTTCTCTAGTTTTCACCAGGCTGAAGGATCCAAATGGATGTTTCAGCTATTCCACAATCAACTTCCACAATCAGGAGACTGACAGCAGACGTCCCAGGCACGCAAAATAACTAGTCACGCTTCATAACCTGCTCAGCCGTAACAAGAAAGGAATACAACAGCTGCCACTAAAATATGTAACTGGGAATGTTAAACATAACTGGCATCCTTAAGGTAGTTACTATATATATTTGTGCAGAGAATCTAAACATTACAGAATAAAAAACTATAACAGTATTGTAATTAAAATAATAATAGCACATTGCTAACTTTTATGCTAACCTTTTTGCTTATTGTTGAGCAAACAGTTGAAGAAATAAATTCTATTTTATAGGTTGCCAGTGCAGGACTGATATAACCATAGTTTGAAACTAGCCTGGTAGCAGTATTTCGATTTTACATTATCTCTAGTATGACTATGGAAGATACTAGTTTGCAGGACTCGGCATAAAACAATTCTATCACAATTTATTCTCTACAGTGAAAATTAAAGTCCTTAGGAAATTACATGCTAAATTACATAAGCATGCTATCTCATCATGAGCTCCTTCTTCTATGCCAATTTAAAAATATTAAGCACAGCACTGTTTTACCACATTTTGCAGGGACGTTTTTATTATATTTATATTGTAGTTAAATTCATATATCACTCCAAAGCCAGGTATAAAAATGTTGGCTATCAAGATTAAAATTTCCAAATGAAAGGCACAGCATGCACCTTTTGAGTAGTGTGGCACCCTGAATTCACTTTCATAAGCACAGCAGCCCATGAAAGGCGACAAGGTGCTCTTCCTTTCTGCACACATAGCAAGAGCATTACACATTTCTATAATGACCTTGGGGTTTGTGTGCATTAACCCTCAGATAGGTATTGCCCATCCTGGAGCACCTGGAGTTTTCCTGTTGTAATTCAGGTCCTAGTTAAAATAATCAAACCAGTTGGCCAGTTGATTGATTTGAACTGTTCTCTGCACGAAGGTGTTACTTTCGGAAATATTGATATGTGCCACAGGCATTAACATCTGTTGAAATGCACAGGGTTGGATCAACAGTGTGACTGTTAATAAGCACAGCATCTTGCAGAGCGCCACTGCTCTCCAGGTTTAAAAAAGGTACAGTACAAAATTTGAAAAATTCACTAAAAAATGATTAAAGCTTCCCAGTATTAGTTTAATTTGTTGAAAAGGAAGACTGCAGCTGAACTTATAAATTCACATTTCCAGTGATTTAACAATTAGAATACAGGAATTCATCCAAAATACTCTATTCTGTGTGGTGTTCTTTTTTCAAAGTGATGTGGAAATGAGAGGCACTTGACGTGGCTGGAGTTGAATTAGAAATCCAGACTCTGGCCGGACCGAACAGGTACTTACAGCACTGAGTGACAGCTCCGGCTGTTGTCAGGTCGCGGTACTCCCTGTACATGTTGTGGGTGCCACTTCGAGAGTCGTACCGCAGCCAGATGCCAAAATTTTTCACCTTCAGGGGAGACTTCTCAAAGACCTGTGAAAGAATGACATCCCTTTCTTATCCTGCGACTTCGTCCTGTATCATTATTAACCTGAACAACATCTCACGGGGCTCTTTCACTTGGAAATTAAACAGGGATATATAATACTCTTCCGTTTATACAACCTCAATTGCTCATGTAGACTTGCACGGATTCGCTTTCGACGATAATGTGAAAATGCAGGAGTGTCTTGTTGTGTTTAAGACCCATAATTACATTCTGAATGAATCTGGGAATATGAAACGATCGCCAATGACACGTATGAATGATGAATCATGAATCATGGCCCACAACAGCTTTTCTCTAAAAGCAATGTGGCTGAGTAGTGCAACACAAAAAAAACAACAAACTGCTGCAGTACCTGTCCACAGTACACAATTTCTCCAGAAGCCTTCTTCATCTTCCTCAGCTGGGAGACGAAATACCAGAAACGGGACTTGGCCACCACATGGTTAGGTGCAAAGATTCTCATGCGGTAGAGAGGCGGGGTGGGATTCTTGGCAGAGGGGAGCAGGCGGCCAATAACCTTGTATTCCCTCAGCTGAAAAGAAACAAAATTACATTTAAGAAAAAGAGCACATGAAGTCAAAAGTTTAATTTTTACCGTTACAGAAAAATTCTGAAACATTAAAAGTACAGCCAGAACTTGTACTGACAACCGTTTTTGCGATCAAATGTCAACTCCAAGATTTCCATACTAAAAGTATAGAAATATAAAACGGAATGCTTACATGAACAAAGAAAACAGTAGCTCCCACACATTCAAGGCTACTACACAATCCCAAGTCTTTAAATGAGCAATTAAAAGATACTCTGGAAACTTGCAGGACCGTTGTATGCTTTTGTATTGTGGTAAGCCAGTCCCTAACTTTCTTTTGACATGTCTGGAACTTTACCACTGGTAAAGGAACACTAGCGTTAACAAGATTCCCTTGAGCAAAGGATGACAAATGGATTTCATTTAAAAACATGTATATTATTATGAACCAAAGTAAATGGTAAATGGGCTTAACTTAAAATGAGCATGTATTCTCACCTAGCCTATAGCAAACCACCCCCCTCTTACAATTCCACACTTAAGGATGCATTATACTTATACACTTATAGGTTGCAGTGGACCTGCTGCTGTGTGTAGAAGAGCAGTGAAAGTGGCTACTTCATTCTAACAAGCAAGTCAATACAAGAAAACCCCATATAGTGAAACAGACTGACACAGCATTCCTTTCTAGCAATTGAGATGAACATCTATCCATATATACAGCATTTTTAATATCTTAACTGACTAGATTACACTTCATTGGTGTGCACTCAGTTTTAACAGCCCAGGTGCTGTTGCCCGTTTCGTGCTGCTTTGGAAAACGCAAGGGCATTTTCAGTCTCCTAAATGAACAAAGTTTTATCATTTAATATAAGCACGAAACTAGTGACTCCAGAATCGGTTCGCTTACTGGTATTATTTTGTATTCTTGAATTTTAACAGAGGACATTTGTTGAAATATAAGTTTCTCAAACGAGTGAAACATTTTAAGGTCTACGATAAGGAGGAAAGGCAATATACCACAGCACACGGGCGTACTAAAAGCATGTGTTACAAAAACACACTCAGTAAAGAGAATATGTGGTAAATACGGATCAAAGCAGCGCGTTTATAGTGGATCTCCAAGATCCTTTCAAAGTGTGATATTCTTCTAAATGCTATTGTCCAGCACACTCCACTGTTATCTGTTAACATCTAATTCAGTTGTCGGTTTCAAATAAGACACATATTTCTACACTTTTTGCATTTAGGCGTTAGGTGTTATTTTACCCCAAACAAATACGTTTCTAAGGCAGATCACTCACTGCCTGAAGTACTCGTATTAATAAGCATCGGTCTCTCCATAGTTGAGAATTGAAGGGCTCGATTGGGCTATATTCTTCAACAAAACCCAATGGAATACATGTTTATTGAGTTTGCGCTTTTTAGATGGACTCAATCAGATTTCAACACCTGCCGATTATCTATTTCTATCGCCGATCCCACATAAAACTACCACGGATGCCGTTACCGGCCTTGATTTGTCCAAAGGGGACATTTCAACCCGTATCCCTAAAAGCCAATTCAACACCAACATCTTCAAAAATGTTGCCGCCTTAAAAAAAGTTTAAGCTCCAGACAACGACGAAACGATAAAAAACAGACTGGATACCCAATTCATAAGGTTTTAAATATGCCTGTAAGAATCGCATTTACACCACATGGCTCCCCACAGCACATCAGCCTCAGCGCCATGTTGCAGAGCAACTCGAACAATTAATGAAAATGTAGTACACCAGTAATAATGATACAACTGCAACATTTTCAACTTCGAATGTGTTTTATAAAGATAAATACATGACAGAACGACAAGGACTTTGTATATATCGACTAATCAAGGGTTATTTTTCCGTTTTACATACAGTGCCGGACGCCTTCATGATGTCCCTCGCAGACGGCAACCGTAAAAGAGAACGTCTTCCGCTGGTATTGCCTACGTCAAACCTCGAGGCGGATAGGGTGGGTCCAAAGGCCAGATTGCCAAGAGTGGATTGGACGTTGAACTCTGATATGACCAATCCCAGTGCACAGAACTCCACGACAGAGTCGCCACCGACCAATCGCGTTTCAGATGCGCCCACCTTCTTCTCCTGCAGCAGAGGGAGACTTGGAAGAAATAAGCGGACTGCAGCTGTGAGTGGAGGTTAGGTTGCTTGAGTTTGAGGGGTGCTTAGGCTGTCCAGATACTTGGAGTTATATCAAACGTTTGCCAATTCAAGACAGGATTTGGTTTGGGACATATTGCAGCTCAAGATTGATTACAAACTGGAGGTGACAATTCGGCCCATCTTGCTTATTTACTTGAAGCACTTCAGCCTTTACAATGGTGTGTACAACACCTTGGTATTTCGGTAGGTTTTTATGTAGATATCGGCGCTTGTAGCGATAAAATAAATATATTTTATAATAAAATAAATGACAAATGTGATTAATGATGCAAAACGTAAAAACTCCATGAAAAATATGGATTTAAACATTATAAAAGCAAAGGCCAGTGCACCAGTAACGGGTATTGTAGGAAGAATGGCACTAATCTAAAGTGCGTCATTTTTTTAAAAAAATGATTAGGTACTCGAGTAGGTGAAGATAGGTTGAGATGATTATACTATGTTAAAGTACTGCTTTTTAACAGACTGGGAAGCGCGTTCCTCGGTTTTTTGTGGTCTATATGGTAAAACGGAATCAGTAGCCCATATTCTGCTACACTGCATTAAGTGTATATAAGTATTTATTTTGTATTGCTGTACTTATTTTAATTTTTCGTCTATTCCGATGTCTGGTTTTGCTTGTCTTGGGCTGGGCTGCTGTAACACCTCAATTTCCCTTCGGGATCAAGAAAGTCTTATCTGTCTATCTATGACCACAACAGGGAAATTATACCTCTTTTGTATCAGATAGGTGAAATATTTATAAGTGAGTCTCTGGAAAGTAATGATTATTTTAGAAATTCCTTCATGTATTTGATCCGCACAATACATATATAAGAACATTGGATAATTAGTACTTCGTGTTCCTTCATTGCATGTGGCAGTACTACTTCGAAATGGTGTGAATTAAGTATAAAGAGGAATCAGAAACTGCCGAGTATTTCTGAAGTACTGTCATTAGAGTTGTGGACCCGCTTCAGTGTTTAAAAATTCCTGGTATCTGCTTGCTGTGGAAAGGGATAAATGGAAATAACATGGCAGAGTATGATAGGCCGCCAGAAACACGTGATCTTTGAACGCGCAGTTTACAGGGGGGTTGAAGGCCCAATCAAAGCGCACGTTGCTCTGCTCCTCTACGACCAATCAGAGTGCTTGGACTGGGAATGAAGCGAGCGCGCGCAATTACGTGTTCGACTCCGTCTCGGGTCCCCCTCCCGGGAGTGGCTGGGATAGTGATTTGTGTTAAGTCATGCGTATTTCAGTGGTCCTGATTTTATCACAAGCGAAATATACGGTTGCTATAATAGGCACCAGTATATGGGTTCTGAACATTTTAGTATTGTTTTAATAATAGCACAAGTATTGTTGTGCAATTAATGGTTCTAACCCCAGAGAACGGGCGAAAGTAACAGATTTAAATCAGTAAATTAGATAGTTACAAAATATCAAATGGATATAATTAACGAACGCAATGCAGTTCATATTGTACTAATATAGTTATCAATTGCATTACTAATAACATGACATTGGCTATTATAATTACTTTTTCTATAATTATATTAATAGTAATTAGTTATTAATCTCCTGCATAGCACCTTTTTTTCTGACAATTGATTTCATTGCCAGCAACTACTGCTGCACGCTGTATTGTTGTGCATTTGATAAATAAACTTTGATTTGAATGGGACTTGAGTATAAGCATTTATATGGGGTATGTGTGAAAACAACATTAATATTGCTGTTCATTTTGGGATGTATACTGTATCTACAGTAGAGGTGTATTGACTGCTCCAGGTAGGTCTGTAATTCTATTCAAATCAGACATAATGACTCATTATACCAGAACTCATCCCGGTTTCTAAGGTGTTAAGTGATCAGAGAGCACACGACTTCCCCCTGGATGGGACGCCTCTCCATTGCAGAACCAGCCTCCAGCAATGCTGGTTCTCATTTATATGGGAATTTATGTTGTACTGTACCTCACTCAAGGTATACCAGCAGTGTCCACAGCAGGGAATCGTACCCATTTCCCACCAGTCATGACTCCATAGAGTTACCCACTACATTACGCTGCCCTGATTAATCATAACAGCCTAAAAAATGCACAGGATACTTTCATTATAATTCATTATAAGACAATGACCCATGAAAGGTCTACATACACATACCTAATATTTATTCTAGCAACCATACGTTTTAGAAGTTGTTAGTCATGACAGTTTTAGTCCCAAAACAATCATGATAGTTCACTTTATTAGCTGGTGCACAGATAACAGCTTTAGCAAGGCTGGCCAACCTGAGTCCAGCAGGATCTTATAGGCCATCCAGAAATGATCAGGTCTTCAAAACGTGGCAACATTTCAGGAATGATCAGTAGTGATCATTGAGAGATAAAGTGGGCTGGTCTTTATTCTAAATTATCTCTGACCCCCCTTAACTGAACTAAGCACCTCCTTATGTGAGAACATAGCCACTATATATAATTGTATAGCTTTAGTCCAGTTTTATTTTCTCCACATTGGTGACATGAAATATAAAACTGATTATATTACTAGGTACACTATACATGTACCTAGTAGAGGTTTTTGAAACTTCTACACTCCTTCCCAGTATTCTAAAGGCTCTGGGATTCTTTGAAACCCCAGAACAAAACTGCATTGGAAATAAGATGCACTTGTGCCAGCAGGCTGGAAACACCTCTTCCCTGTCTGGTGGACATTCTGTTCAACGCTGCTTAAATTAAACCACATGTTATTTCTTGTCTTTTCTGATATTTAATAATTCTGTTTTTTTTATTATAGTCTGTTATCTGATTTAAACATGCTAAGTCATATTAGTATCATTGTGAATATCGTTTTAAAAGCTTTTATTTAACAAGACAGAGCAATTGCAAACAAAATTAATTTACAGTGACAACCTGGAGAGCACCCATTGATACACATTTAAGTGGATTATTTCACTCAAGGGTACAACAACAGTGTGTCACCTGGAATAAACCCATAACCTTCTAATCTGGAGTACTAAATGCTACTCCACACTGCTCTACACACAATAACCATAACTCCCCCTTAATATACTCCCCTATTGGTTTTTATTCCACCTGAGCACTCAAATACATGAACGCAAATAATCTTAATAATAGGAACAAGTAATAGGTTTATTCCATGCTGAAAAAAAGGAGAAAGAGAACACAACGTTTCGGCCGTGGAGCCTTCTTCTTCTTCCTATTATTATCTTAATAATAGGTTTATATTTGTTAACGCTTTGTTCTGAGTTCCTAAATGAGAACTTGCTTTTGTGCTTCATAACTGAAGATATCCGAACCTCAAGTAGAAAACAAACACCTGCAAAAGTTCCAACGAAGCACCTCGTTAGTTGGTTCAGTGAGGGGTTAGTTAAACATCTATTTTCAACAAAGCACTTATCCCTTAGCCTTTACTGCAAGTATATAGTGCAAAACACAACTGCTCCAACATCCAGTGAGACAGCAGTCCATCAGAGTCACTGGAAGAGTTACTGCTTATACTATTATAGTCAGGCCTTATCAGCGTGTGGTGGTTCCTAAGGGAGGAAACCTGTGAGCCATTCATAACCTCACACTATTACAGTGACAAACCTGCTAACTCCAAACAGATACCCCTTAGGCTAGAATCAGAAAATCCCCCAATATAACCTTTATTGACATTTAAGAAACTGATTACAGTAATGTTGTGACTTTTAATCTACTTGCACCCAACGCTCTTGATGATAACTCATAGTGAAACCAGGAGTTTTATCTACTCAGGGGATTTTATTTTTGATCGGTTAACATTTTAAAATGTAGTGATAAATCATATACTGCACTTCGATAGTTTAATATTGTTTTTTTCCCAAACAGACATAAATGTAGCAGCGCGGTTAGCCGCGCCCTTCAATACAATGTGTCTCAACCAATAACGGGGCTGTTTAAAAATACATTTGTAGGAAGAGACAAGTAATCCGCAAAAAAAAATGCTTTCAACGTCTCGGGGCTCTAGTCCCCGGTATTGCGCCTGCCTTTCAACAACATGCACCAGCAGCGAGAAGGAATCTCTTCCTGTGGTCGTGACCCAGAGCAAGGTTTGCGTCTCTGATTTCCGTCCGCATTGAGCCGACACGCAGCACAAAACCATTCAACGCCGTTCACAGTGCTCACCGTGTAAAGCCCAGATTGTTACGGATTCAGCTTGCTTGGAGTCAATAAAAAGGGACGATGAAATAAAACCATCAGAAAGGTAATTTATGGTTTCCGTTTTGATTCATTTGTAACCGTTCTAGGAGCGTAAGGCCGCCTTTAAAACTTTGCTTCAGTGTTTTTTCCCCCTTTCCTGCACTGGCACAGGATAGGCGTGCTGATGTACTTGCCGTGCGGGAGACCAGAGCCGATGGGACTGGGCTGTGCTGGATGAGACAGTTCGCAGTTCACGTTGTTAAATACAATGTGTAGTTTCATCACGGGATCTAACATTTTGTTTAAAAAAAAAAACTAAGAGCGCATGCGACATGTTCATCTAAATTGCTTTTAAGAGTCGTTTACATCACAACCTCATCATATGAAAAGTTGCGAGGAGTGGCGATACTTGTATTTGGTCAAATACCGTAGAGATTGTTAGTTAAACAAGCAACAAAGTACCTGTGTGCCACCAGGATCAATTTGTGATTGCCTGTGAAACATATGTAATCGAATTGTTTGTTTCATGAGAGCTTAGGTCTGAAAGAGCTTGATTTTTAACTAGGTTAGCAATGTGTATCACATGTTCATATGCTCGGAAACGTGTTTGTAGAACTATGAATTACTCCAGAAAAGCAGAAAGTTTGCTTATTTATTGAACTAGGACTTTTCAGCCGTTTTCAGAAATACCTTTTTAAAAAGGGCATCCAGTTTAGCCAGAATTAGATAGAAGTTTGTAATTGTTGAAATAATACGTTGATGAACTGTATTGTAAAATGTTAGTTTAAAAACTTCCGGAGAGTAGATATTGCCAGTTACATTGCGTGACAGGATGGTTTAATTTTCACAGTTGAAATATGGTGAAAACCTCACATCTTTTTCTGGGGACCCCAAGAACAGTCTTTGAAGACCCATACATTCCCGGCACCCTGTTTGAATGCCACTGTATGAGGCTGAATATATAGAACGTTTGGATGCTCTTGTATTTTAAATAACATTTAAAACAAGTAGCATTAAAATTCAATTCTCTTGCTGTTTTATTTGTAACATACATGCAGTAACATAGATAAGTATTAAATCATGTTATCAGGTAGTTCAGCATGCAAAATATGTCATTTCTAATCTGACACAATGTTGTTTAAAAAAATCCCAATGTTTTTTTTTACTATTCCATGGTATGTAGCAGAGATCTCTGTGGACTTGAACAGTATTTTATAAAGTGTGAATTTAAATGCTGAATATTTTGGACTAATAGCTTAATTGTGAAGATGTTTCCTTTGCTGCATTTATAATGAATTTGTTAAATTAAGGTTTAGTGATCAGATACACAGGTCCCTGTGTGGTTTGGAGAGAAAACCTTTAATATTTTAAAGCTGGTAGCTCTTGCAGTGTGTCCACTACCCTTCTTGTCACTGTGCGTTTCTGCTGAGGTAAGCTGTGTCACTATTCATGCAAATACCATCTTTCATGCTCGTGTGCCTTTTGTTCGCAGATGTGTGTGTCCCACATGCGGGGAGAAGGGAGCAAACCTAAAGTGGAAAATAGGTACCCAGTAGATCTGTCGCTATAATGGATGAGCAAGCTCTTTTGGGGCTGAACGCAAATGCAGATGCCAGCTATAGACAGAGGGTAAGGAAAGTACCCAGGCTAGAATACTTGTGTACTATGATTCTGCAAAAAAAGTTAGTGTTCATTGTATTGGCAAAACACGTTTTTTAGAATGTGAGTAAAGGAAGATAACTTTGCAAAATAATTCATTAGGAGCTGACAGTATACTGAAAAATTAAATGATTAAAATCAAATATTTGTTTTTGTATAAATTAAGGAGGTGTGATTGCATGTTAATGGCCATGTTGTTTTCTTGTTGCACCTGTTAACAGCAGCAACATTTGGGCCTTCTGTCCATTTTCCGTTATCTACAGTCTGCAGAATTTCCCAGTGGCTTCAGAATTTCAATCTAAATCTTAATTTAGAGTGCTTCAGTGATACCCAAAGTCTTGCAGTGTCCAAATAAAATCAATATTAATAGTGGTGGCTTCTGAAGTGGTTCAGCAAATAAAGATGGATTTCCCCAACCGAAGCCATGAAGTCAGCAGCAGAATTGTGTGGAAAAGCCCCAGTCAAGCAAGTCGTTAAAAGTAAAGAAGCCAATTAGTCTTAAGTAAAGAGTATAGTTGGAACAAATACCAAGGCCACACAGTTGCCCAGTATCAGAGCTGCGAATCATTGGTTTAAAACTAATGAAGTGAAAGAACGTAATGACTCTGATCTGCACTCTGAGTGACATGGTACAAATTTAATTTCATACAGTGAACTCCAGGCTAGGCTGATTTTTGTCCTAATTAGCTGAATATTCAGTAACACAGACTGCCAGATAATATTCATTCAGGACTGCATGATCCCCTTTAAACTCTAGCTTTTTGCTTGGGTAATGAAATTTTTTTTTAAATAAAAACTAAAGACATCTTTTCTCATGCACTGTTCTTGATTAGGCTGCAATTGCAGGGCCAGTGTGTTGTAGTGGACACATCCTTTTACTCTTGTCTTTGCTTTACTAATCTTGACGTTTATTTTTAAAAGAATAGTCATTACTAATTGTTTTTCATGTTGTGTTTGTGTGTGTTTAAGCAGTGTGATTACCCTGTGATTATTTGTGATACCTTGTTCACGGTAAAGATTTCCTAGAATGTGAAGTCACATGAGCTTGTGACTCATAAATAGGAAGGAAGAATCGAAACCTTTGAAAAGACACCTAGGCTCTTGTAAGGTGATAGTTGTTAACTCAGGTAATGTACATAGACGAGAGCTGAACCAGCCGCTCCACGCAGTTTGGTGATTGACTGACTCTCTTCCAGGCCTCGGCTTATTTTGAACAGCTGAAACAGTCTCAAGATGCTTGGCAGGTGTGTGCCGAGGCCTTAGCCAAAGGGATTTACAGGTACGTTATGAGATAAACTGCTCTGCCCTTTTGTACAGAGTTAACAGCAGATTGTAATTTTTCTAATTGCTAAGTGACAAATTAATCCAAAACATGCTGACAGCTGTCCAGCACTTTTCAATTCCAAGGAATTTCCAGTCCTTTTGTTCCGTGCGATACGTCATCGGCATAACTCTTGTTGGAGTTGATGGTTTTTCCTTGCTTTGCACAACTGGGCATTTCACTGCAGCTATATGAATGAAGTGTCTTGGTCAAGCATACAACAGCAGTGCCCAGGATTTGAACCCACGGCCTGCGAATTCTGAGTCCAGAGCCCTAATGTTTACTCCGCAGTGTTGCCTGTCTATGTGTTTGGCTTAAAAATGTATCAAATTACATAGGACTTGATCCTTTCCTTCAGCTGAAATTCAGATTTTCATGCCTTTGCTTTCATGTCATCCTCCTTCTTTTTGAACTTTGATGCCTTTCTTGTAGTTTCAACTGTGTGGAAGTTCTTGTAAGAGTGAGACATGTTTTTCCATTGTACCAAATCCTACTTTAATGTGCTGTTCTTTTTTTTTCCCCCTCAGCGATGACCACGTGAAGTTCTTCTGTTTTCAAGTGCTGGAACATCAGATCAAGTTCAGGTAGGATCACAAAATTTGACCTGTTTTTTTTTTTCTTGGTGGTGCAGTTCTATGGTTTTAAGAAATGTTTGTGTTAACAGGACATTAAATATAATTTGTTTCACATCAATGGAGAAAAGTGGACAGATGTTTATACAAAAACTTAATTCAAACATCTTGCACATTTTCCTTCTTAGATTCTGGTTGAGAAAAAAACAAGGCTAATTAAGCGTGTTGCTGGTATCACTTCAGTGTAGTGGATATAAGAACATTTAGTTGATTTACGTGGCACTTTTCATCCAAATTGATTTCAAGTGGGGGGACATGGTGATGCAGTGGTTAGCATTACAATACTGCAGCCTTGGGTTCAGTTCCAGACCTGTGGTGCCATCTGTAAGGACTTTGTAAGGTCTCCCTATCTTTGCGTGAGTTTCCTTCACGTGCTCTGGCTTCCTTCCACAGTCCAAAAGCATTCTGGTGGGTTAAATGGCCCCATTGTGAGTGCCTGCTGGTCTCTGTCTGTGCCTCTCTGGCCTGTGGTGGACTGGTATCCTATCCAGGGTGTATCCTGCCTTGCGCCTGTTCCTGCCTGAATAGGCTCCAGCTCCCCAACAAATATAAGTGGGATCCAACTTCATCTGACTGAAGCGAAGCTCCTGCCTTATGCTCCAGCATCCCGGTGGAAGAGTGAGAAAACGCTTCACCAGTTGAATTAAGGTGGACAATTGAGATGAGATTGTGGAAGTCCAGGCTGAAATTTATTCAGGGTGCTGGGATTAACACCCCTAGTCTTACACACTGCTCTACAGACTCTTTTAAAGACCAAGTATATCGTTGTGATGTCAGTCATGATTTTGGTTTAACATCTCATCTGAAGGAGAGCACCTCTTGCAGAACAGTATCCCTGGTCACCATAATGGGGCATTGGTTTGCAAATTCTGCTCTCGAAGCAAGAGTGCCACCTACTGGTCCACCAACCCCATTTACAGCAGCAACCTGGTTTTCCTTGCAGGCAGGCCTCCCATCCCAGTACTGGCCAGGCTCAGCCCTGCTTAGCTTCTGAGATCTGATGAAATCAGGCTGCCAGTTTTTAAAGATGCTATCATAACACAGCTTGAGCCGTCTTAATTTTATTTACAGTTTTTATAGACAGACAGCAGGCAATGAAATAAACATCACTTTATTTAGTAAATTTTCAGTGTTTTGTTGCGAAGGTGACACGTTAATTTTAAGGTTGTCAGAAGCCTGGTTTTATCAGTGCAATAACGCACACGATGCAGGATGTTGATTTCTTTGTGTCTTGAGGTCTGTTTCCCTAATCCTGTTTTTTCCAGTATGCTGTGCTTCTGACTGTTCCGTTTTCCATATTTACACAGTGTAATGAGCTATATCTGTATACCTTTAAGTGACATTAAACAAGTGTGAAAATCCATTTTATGTACACATTGGGCTTAGTTTGCACGTGAAAAATTTTAGACTGCTTTGTCATCTTTGTTACTTGCTATTGATATATGTCAAGTAATTTAGATATTTGTGAAAAAACTTCAGCTACATTTGTGAGCCACCTTTTTAGCATTAGATATGTTTCAAAGCTTTGAATGTGGTGCAAAAATCAGTGTTTTGTAAATAAGTCAATTCTTATTCCATTTCTGATGAAGGTTTCTGAAGTTATTTGTTTGATAATGCCTTTTTTTAAACATTTTCATGATTGTATGAAAGTGATTTTATGAAATAAAGGACTGTCAATTAACGGTTGGTGTTTTTTTATTTCTAGATATGCTGTCCTTAGCGCTGCACAGCATCAGCTTATTAGAGAAACCCTAGTGAAATGGCTACAGTCCCAGGTAAGTTGTCTTGTGTCTTTGCACAGATCTGTGGTAGATTGAAATTTTGATAACTTGAAATAATGACTACTCCTTATTTTCCCATTTGTTTTTCTCTGTTACAAAGAACAGGAAGCTTTGATTTTTAGGAAAACTTTGCCAGGGCATAGTGACTGATAAATACCTAACTTATAAATAGATGTTTCTATACCAAATAAGAAAAAATATAAGCAAAGTGGTTAAAACATTATCTGTTGCTAGAGCTTAAATACCTTTTCCTTATAAGTGAAGGAATCTGCAACCCTTTTGTGTGGTAAAAAGTACAAAAATGTTTTTGTGCTCGCAAAATTCAAAAATTACTATATTGGGGGTTGGCTGAGATAAAGCTCTGTAATACCTGGGAGACCAGAGTCAACTCCCTGGGCCTCAGGAGGTGCTGCTAACTGGGTTGTTGTGGAGAAATGAAGCCTGGTGTATTCCTCAGCCCCAGGGAGCTCCACTGACCCAGTTTGTACACTCATGTCCCCAGGCATGGCCGCTGGCAGTGTCCCACGGGGTCGCTAAGGCTCTCTGCCGTACGTTTCAAGGGTCTTTTTCTTTGTTTATTCAACAGCATGTGTTCAAACTGAAGACTGTCGATTTTGTTTTTTTTTTTCTAACCAAACCTTGTGAGTTGTTGACTATTCAGTCTCTCCTGACGCGCCATGTGTTTACTTCCTAGTGTTGGTAATCCATCATAAACTCCTGTCTGCTCTGGAAACTTTTTTTCTAGCTCATAAACGCCCAGCCTGAAAAGGTCTTCATCCGCAACAAGGCCGCCCAGGTGTTTGCCCTGATGTTTGTGACGGAGTATCTCACCAAGTGGCCCAAGTTCTTCTTTGACATCCTCACGGTTGTGGGCCTGAACCCTCGGGGGCTGGACTTGTACCTGAGGATGCTAATGGCGATCGACGAGGAAGTAGTGGACAGAGATATTGCTCATACTCCCGAGGTAACATTTTAAAGGACTTGCAAGGTTATGCAATTATTTATTCTAAAACAACGGCCTGGGGTTCTTTCCCTTTCGTGCTGGTTAATGTCTGCATCCCATTTCCCACGTAGGACTTCAGTTTATTCCTCAGATCATTTATGAATATGGAATTACTCTAGACAACTCTTTAATTCTGATATATAACACTCTTAGTGAAACTGAATGGAGGATTTCAGCATATTTGCCTTGCCTAATAAGTGTAGTGAACACTTTGGATAATTCTCTGAAGAACAGTTCTTTGGGGAAGATGAGTTTATTCTGAGTTCTTTGCAGGAGACCCGCAGAAACACTCTTATTAAAGACACCATGAGGGAGCAGTGCATTCCCAACCTGGTGGAGTCATGGTTCCAGATCCTGCAGACATATCAGCACACTAACTCTGAGCTGACCTGCCAGTGCCTGGAAGTAGTTGGTGCTTACGTTTCATGGATAGACCTCAGCCTCATTGCCAATGACAGGTATGGATGCCACTCCTTCCTGCGTTTGTATGCTTTTTGCGAACATTTTTGTTGCTTGCTGTGCAAAGGCCTGACAAGGCCTACCTAATTTTTTCCCATCGAGAATGACACCAGGAGATTCCTTGTGTATTTTCTTCTTGTTTAATCACATCACCTGAAGAACTGGATATTTCATGGGTTCCTGTTGCTGTTGAGCAGTGACAGTGATGCAGGTCACCATTATAGCAATATCAGCAATACTGTTTCCACAACAACAGTGAAGCCCTGAAAAATCGCTTATATGTAAGCAGTAGTGCTCCTTGGGATACATCTTCATTGAGCCTGTGCTAGAATTGCCTCTATTACAGCCTATTCCTACTCTAACTCCTTTCTTCGCAATACCTCCCCAGCACTAAGCGAGGTATTGCTGTATATCTCTTTAGAATCTGATTATGAGACCATGTCCAGGAAGGCCTCTTGAAGCCTGTGTCTTTGAATTGCAGGTTTGTGAACATGCTGCTGGGCCATATGTCAGTGGAGGTGCTTCGAGAGGAGGCCTGCGACTGTCTGTTTGAGATAGTCAATAAGGGCATGGACCCTGTTGACAAGACCAAGCTGGTGGAATCTCTCTGTCAAGTTCTTCAGTCAGCTGGCTTCTTCAATATTGAACAAGTACGAGGTCGTTCTTTTCATAATGCAGTCAGTGACTGTCCCGCCCTTTGTGTTTTAATTCTACACAGGAAAGAAATGATGGTCTTGGGAGTTAATGTTAAGTTTAAAACTTTAAAGTCAAGTGTAAAACTTTTTTTTTTTTGTCGTGCTGGGACTCAAAAGGAGCCAGGCAAACCAGGACTTCATCATTGTACCCTTAGAGGCAGTTTTAATATTTGATCATATTGAACCTAAGTGGGAAGGACCAAGTAATGTGACTAAAAAACTAATCAAGACTGTTCAATTAACATGTCAAACATTTTCTCAGCATACGCTCATTTTTGATGGAATGTAGCAAAAAATAATATTTTGTGTTTAAAGTTGCACCCTGACTTGTCTGCTAAATTGGGGATAATTTGTTTGGCCCCACTAAATCTGCTAGTCGTCAGCTTGACTGTACAGTGATTCATTTAAAACATACAATTGAACATTTAACTTCTTTAGCAGTTTGGTGTAATTGGCACTTTACTGATAAAGAGTGATCAGTGTTTGTGTGATTCAAGATTTTGTATTACGATCATATTACAATGTAACTTACAGTTACCACCGACCAAGGTTCGCATTTGCGACTGGTGCTCTATTCAAGATATTGTTTTTCACATAACTTTCACTCTGAGCTGGCCTCTGGGGTACCGCTAGGGATGTTAACCTGCACTTGTTTTGGCAGGAAAAAAGTGAGTCGGTGAGATGTTCATCTGTGGGCCACGCAAGTGGTCACTGCGTCGCTGACAGCTTTTTTTGCAGAGAAGTAACATCTTTGGCTGTGCCACATGTGAACCACGCTGGAGTGAAATAAAAACAGAGGTCAAAAACGCAGCTCTTTAGAGTTTGACCTTTTGCAGGAGGAAGACGTGGACTTTTTGGCCAAATTCTCCAAACTGGTCAATGGAATGGGGCAGTCACTTATTGTTAGCTGGACGAAGCTTGTGAAAACCGGAGACATAAAGAACGCCCAGGACACCCTCCAAGCCTTGGAGGCCAAGTTTCCCCTGATGCTGCAGTTACTCATTCACGAAGACGATGACATCTCCTCCAACATTGTGGGTTTCTGTTACGACTACCTGCACATTTTGAAACAGGTGGGCCCTTCTAGAACCTCTGGGTTACAGTTACATTACTGCAACTGACAGAGCAAACGTCAAAATTCGATCGCATTTTCTCACAGTTTATTCAGCAAATGGACTGTTTTTAAAATGGTACTGATGAGGAAGATTACAGGGGAGAGATTTGACCTTTGAGTGTCCATAAAAAAATTTCCCTCAGAGGACAATAAAAATCTTTTCCATTCATTTGATTTCGTTTGGCAAAAAAGTTTACAAAACTATTAGTTATGTTACTAAGTACTTGCATGCCATATTTCTAACACTTTTGATGGAAATTCTTTCTTTCATAAGAATGAAAAATGACTTAGATGACTTTTTCATGCTACTAATAATTATGCCTTCCTGTGGATTCATTATACATCTTCACAGTGGAGTCGCTTTGGCTAAAAATGTTAGAAATAATAGCAATACAAGAGCTGTCTATGAGCAAAATTTTCTAGACTGTGAATTTTCTAAATACATGAAAACTTTCTTGTGAAGTACTCCCTTCAGTATAATTTGATCTAAAATGTTTAATTAAAAATAAAAAGACAATTAGTTTTATCTGTAATTATCTGCATATTAAACATTTAGTGCATTTTCTTCTTAGATTCATGTTTTCAGTAAAATTTGTATAACTGAACCATGGGCAGTAATTGAACTAACACTGTTGTGTGACCTAAATTTGATGACTTCTATTAATTTATTTTCTTCTTGATGTAGCTACCACTTCTGACAGACCAGCAGAAAGCCAGTGTTGAGGTAAGGTGTGTCTAATTATAGAGGGAATTCATTGTACTGTCCTGCATTGTTAATACATTGTCTGCACTTCAACAGATTTCTTACTTTCAAATCTTTGTATTCTAAAGCATAGCTGTAAAGTTAGAATATTAAGTGTTTTTGAAATTGGAGTGAATAAAATAGGTGTAAGCTAGAAAATACTAAATGATTCTCTTTGAGGTTTGCTTGTTAGGGATTTCTTAACATGTCGAGTATTGCGTTTTAGCAGTTGAAATCTTTTGGATGCATTTTTCACAAGTATAATTATTTCAACAGGCTATCATGCTTGCTGTCATGAAGAAACTGACCTATGATGATGAATATAATTTTGAAAATGAGGTAACCTACTTAGCCATGTTTTTAAATTTGAGTGTTTTCTATTTGTATTCTAAATATTTTCCTTTATGGACTGTTGCCCTGGTGCTCTTCAAAACAAACTCCACCTTGTGAGCCTAACCAGGTTGGAAACACGAGATACTTTAGATAATCCAACAAGAGCCTTGCTTTAATCAACTTGAAACATTGTCCAGTACCTGTTTCAGCAGAGGCTGAAAGCTGGACATTACAGGTTACTCTTACGAATTTAATATAGGGGGGGGAGCATGGCAGATGAATTGGAATAAGCATACAGTTCTGCTTGCGAATTATATATTTGAATAAAATTCTTAGAACTCTACAAAGTCCCAAGTGAGTTAGGGAACATTGTAATTCGCACAGTAGTAGGCTGTCAAATGGTTCCTTTCTATCGGAGTAGTGCATAGTGACATCAGAGCTGTATGTCACTGATTCTTTCTCAGTAAATTTACACTTTACACCAGTGCTGGAGCTTGTGCTAGATTTAGAACACTGTCACTTGACTGTGTGATTATGTTGTGTAAAGGGTGGAGATGGGCTCAGACAGTGCTTCATAGTCTTCTGTCCTGTGGTGACGCACTCCTACTCTTAGTGTAGGAAAAGGGGCAGAGGTCAGTTGAATATACTAATGGTTTATTACTGGTTAATGAGTTCCCTGAGTGCCGAACTGTTGAAAGGCCTGTTTAATTTTGTTTTTCAAAATTGTATTCCTATTTTGATTTTAAATAATACGGTGCTGAGATATAGGGATAATTGTGTTGGGTTTAAAGAGCTCCAGGGTGTTTAGATGTTTTTTAGGAAAATATTTTGAAAAATGTAGGTTGTGCTTTGAAAGTGCAAATTTATTTTGAGTTTAGTAATGAGTAGTGATATGAATTCAACGTTTAATCTCTGAGATGTTAAAACATGAAGTTCCCATGAACATATTGTACATAAGATACTGCTTCTTAGTTCCTTTTAAGAGTTTGTGATAGGCTCTGTTCCTTGCCCTTGCGGATATTTTCCTGTGAAAGACGGGGCTGATGTTATGCTGTCCCTCTCTGTGTGGGCCTTCAGGGGGAAGACGAGGCAATGTTTGTGGAGTACAGGAAGCAGCTGAAACTGCTGCTGGACAGACTGGCCCAGGTGTCGCCTGAGCTGCTTCTCGAGGCTGTCCGGCGAGTCTTCAACACTACGATGCAGTACGTTCTGTAAGATTGCTGAAATGGGATGCTTAGTCAAGTCAAGGTGTACACCCGTTCATGGAAAACCTATCCAGTACAATACTTTAATTCAGCTTTGCTCCAGAAGTGTACCTCCTTTGGAATGTTTTTGTTAAAACTACTCACACCGCACTTTATCCAGTTCCCAGTTCTAATTTTGTCTTTTGTCAGCTGACTCACTGGTGTCTAAAGCCATAGCAAATTTCAACAACTCTGCCTTCTGCGCATTGAAAAAGGTTGAAGTTCCCACACTGAATTCTCTCACTTTCAATTCAAGAAGCTTTATTGGCATGACCAATGAATAAATTAGTGCTGCTAAAGCATATACAATTAACATAAGATCTGCCAACATTTACAATATAGACACGTCATTATACATTTACATACAAACATATGGAGCATTATTGAGAGACAGCCTCAACAACTGTTCTTTATACTGGGCTGCCAGTTCAACCGAGTTCTCTCCCCCCTTTGCTAGTACGACTGGGAGTTGTTTGATTCTGGCAGGTGTGGGAATTCTAGGATTAGATTTGTAAATTTGGGGAAGAATGTTTACCTAATCCCAGAATATTTGTCACAGTGAATCTATTACACTCTCACTCTGCTTTTCGCTTGTTACATTCATTTTATTGCTTTGATTGAATACGGTACATTTCCTCCCTTCTTTGTCTTTTTGAGTGAATGGATATGTTTTGTAGCAGTAATAAAGCTACTCAGAAAAACCACAATGCATCTGGCTAGAGAGCTGCCACTCAGCGAATCCAAAACTACAAGGATTTAGAGATATCGAATATTACCAGACCATGTCCCGGGATGTCCAGTGGTCATTGAAGAAGGGATTGTAATAGCCAGATAACACAGCAGTTACTGTAATGTGGCGGTCACTATTCCGAATCCTGAATGCCCTGACCCAGCACAGTGTTCGGTGTTGTCTCGCAGGAGCTGGCAAGGCACCCCTTTCATGGAAGTGGAGGTGGCCATACGGCTGCTGTATATGTTGGGGGAGGCCCTGCCTGCCTCCCATGGTGCACACTTCTCCGGCGACGTTGCGAAAGCCAGTGCATTGCAGGACATGATGAGAACGGTAAGCCTCCGCCGGCAGCACTTCACACCGAGAGCCGGCTGGCCTCGGTGCCGGGGACACTCTCCCGTTCCAGCAACAGAAAGTCTTTTAACCACTCTATTCGTTCACAAGCTCACACCTAGCCGGAAGACTGGCAGGGCAGGGTAGTCTTTAGAACTAAACGGCTTTTGCTTTGTGTATTTGCTGGCTTGGATTAAAATTCTGCTGAATTTTCCCATTTACCATTTCCCACTGTCACTGCTTGTTCTGTCCTGCTTTGTTCTAGCTTGTCACGTGTGGAGTAAGTGAATACCAGCACACTTCTGTGACGCTGGAATTCTTCGAAACGGTGGTGCGCTATGACAAGTTTTTCACCGTGGAACCCCAGCACATTCCAAACGTATTGGTGAGTCGCTCGTGTCGCCTCAACACTGAAGGTTTGTTTTTCAGTTTACCACATTGCCACATTGAAGAGCGAGAATCCGTTAAGCCCTCTCAAGAACAAAATGGTGTAAATCTGTTAGAAGTTCATTGTAATGGTGTGTGGTTTCATACCGTAGCTAATTTTGTTTCCCTGAAAAGGGATTGTGAAGAAAGCAGGAGCAGCTACAATGTTGTAAATCACCTCTGACATACTGAGTGTTAAACAGTCTCTCTTCAGAGTATGGATTGCAGAGGAGCAAGTAAACGGTATCGAATTATCTTGAGTTGCAATGTGCTGCAGTAAGCAGTTCATTCTCTTTAAGATGAAAACTGTTTTTTTTTTATTCTGACAAGGTACACACTTTTCCCCACCAATGATAGAAGGTTGACTTGCTTTTTCTTGCTCTTTCCTCTCAGATGGCGTTTTTAGACCATCGAGGCTTGAGGCACAGCAGCCCCAAAGTGAGAAGCAGGGTGTCCTATCTCTTCTCCAGATATGTGAAGTCTCTGAAGTACGTGTAGTGCGCAACGCTCAAGAACTGACATGCCGAGACACGGGCTGACAGTCCAAGTAACAGTGTTGACAGAAGGCAATGAGAGAAAGCAGTTTTGGGCCTGTCAGCATAATATCCGTCATATTTATAAACAAAATTGATTAAAACATAGAACACAATGTCCACAGCACTTAAACCTCTGAGTTTAATAACTGTATAAACAACAAACCAAAACTGATGCACATTTAATTCTTCTACATCCACCTTATTCATTTGATTTGTAGCTACTGTTTTTTCTGAAGTTAGTTAATTTGCTTCCCACTGCTGAAAAGGAAATAAATGGTAAAATCCCTCAAAACATGACATTTTGGTTTGGCGTTCAGTTTCAGAATGTGCATACTGAATCTTTCACTTCTCATTAAAGGACTAACATGGTTAAATATCTTCCTTTAGCAAGCATATGAATGCCTTTATTGAGGACATCTTAAATAGGATGCAAGACCTCTTGGAACTCTCTCCCCCTGTAAGTATTTGCCCTTTTCTTGCTGTGTTGCCTGTAGTGGATCAGGCAAGATGAGTTACTTCGTTTTGGGCATTTCAGCAAAAAACTTGTTTTGAGCTAAGTTCCAAAGGGCAGGATGTCTCTGCATTTGCTGGGTGCACAAACGGCAAAGGCTCTGTAAAGCTGGTCTGGTCTGAACACCTCTTTGCCCACTAGCCTACAGTGCCTCTGCCGGTATTGCTTAATTTTCCTGAAAATGCACATTTTAAGATAAGCAAGTAAGTTCATCAAGTCAGGATAACTTGATGTATTATTTTTATGAGAACTAGTATTACGTACAATACACACAGAGGTGCCACATTTGCACACTGTATGAGCTCATTTTCTCCTAATCTCCTGCTAATCAATCTCAAGGAAGGAGGAAAGAAAACTTAGAAAATAAAGTGTGAGAGGAAAGCAATATCCTCAGTGGTCATTGTGCTAAAAAGGATGGACATCCTATTAAATAATTATTAGGCAGATGGCGATACTCTCAGATGAGTCTCCTGACATATTCTGAAGACTGATTTCAGCAATCGACCATTTTTGTTTTTCCAGGAGAATGGCTTCCAGGCATTACTGACCAGCGATGACCAGCTGTTCATCTTTGAGGCAGCAGGGGTGCTGATTGTGAACAGCGAATACCCAGCTGAGCGCAAGCAGGTGTTGATGAAGAACCTGTTGACCCCACTGATGGAGAAATTCAAAATCCTGCTGGAGAAGCTGCTGATGGAGCAAGAGAATGAGGAGAGGCAAGCAGCCCTGGCAGACTGTTTGAACCACGCAGTGGGTTTTGCCAGGTATGGACACCGTGTCCTTGAATTTTTGTTTCCGGATATTCATTTAACATCCAGATTATTTCTTCACTTGTTCGTAAAACTGCCTTTATCCTAAGGAGAGAAATATTCAAGTAGAGCGAGTACGTTGCTGCAATTTTAGCAAAATCAAAGGTTCACATAGAGTAGAAATTCCTGTGTTCACATAAAAATAACCCTTTTTTTTGGGCCTCTGACTAGTTTATCAATACTCATAGTAGAGATTGATCTTTATGGCCCAGACTGCAGTCATGCAGTTGGACCTGAACTCCTGTGGTGGCAGATCACAGCTGCTAGACCAGTGCAGGGAACGGATGGGTGTTAGCCAGCCAAGAGTCTCTCAACGTAACGGCAACTGCTGCAGGGCACCTGCAGGCCAGCAGTGAGGTCAAAGAGAGATGCCGAGCTCCTCCAGTCCTGATAACTGTCCAGTCGGGCACTGTTGTGGAGGTTGCTGTGTGTCAAAATATACACATGTAGAAGAAGCCTGCCTGCAGTTTCTCTTACTCTCCATATGGATAGACCTTCCAGTACTTTGTTGCCATAACTAGTTCCATGGAATTTGGTTCACTGAGTTTGTTCAATTAAAGACATACAATACAAATATAAAAAAAGCTGGTAATAGACAGAATCCAACCCACACATTCACACACCATCCTAAACACACTCCAGTAAGCATATAAACAAACTAATAAAAGGTGTGGGGGGCAGGGTAACACTTGAAAGATCTGGCGATTCCAAGTGGAAGAAAACCCCAGCTTTGCAAACCTGCCGTTGCAGCCGGACCAGCAAGGCCTTCAGCAACAAGCAGACGGTGAAGCAGTGTGGCTGCTCGGAGGTGTACCGCGAGTGTCTGCAGACCTTCGTGCCGGTGCTCAGCTGCCCCGTGCAGAAAGAGGTGCTGCGCGGCGGGGTCCGCACCTTCCTGCACAGGATGATCATCTGCCTGGAGGAGGAGGTGCTGCCTTTCATCCCCACGGCCTCCGAGCACATGCTCAAAGACTGCGAGGCCAAGGACCTCCAGGAGTTCATCCCGCTCATCAACCAGATCACCGCCAAGTTCAAGGTACGGGCCGTGTCCCGCCACAATGCAGCTGGAGCTGCCTCTAGCGACCCGCTCGCAGTTCACAGCTCAACATGGACCCAGTCAGAGAAATTGTGGTCCGTATCACTTTAGACACTACCGTTCCTTTCTCTGTTGTTAATAGAGAGCTGGAAAGCGATGGGAGCATTCCAATTATAGATAAATGCCTCGATTAGACGTGGTTCAACTGATGACAAGAAATGAAGGACACAGGGCTCTCAACTTAGATCAGCTGGAAAGCAAAGGAACTGAAGTGCGGTCAAAACACAGACAAGACTGTATCTCCAACTACCACATCAGATGTGGTAAATGCACGACTTGCGTTTGGCACAGCAAAAACCATGTCTTATGAAATTGCACTCCAGGCACTCCAGGCTGTGCTTTTCACTGGCCTAAAGTCTAATGGGCAGAGATAGAGATCTGATGTGAAGTTGCTCCATAGTAGGTGTTTTTGAAGGTTTTTAGGGCAAACGTTGAGGCTGTGTAAAGGATTAAATGGGTGCGGCTGAGCTGACATCTCGTGACGTGGTTCTGGCATGAACGCCCGAGGAGCCGCATGCGACTTTGATACAGTGCTCCCAATTAAAAGAGCAGGTATTAATGATGAGAGCTGTCGGGGAAGAGTGGCAGAGCGGAGTTTCTCATCTGGGGGGCCCTCTGGTGGTGACTAGCGGATTCGGGGAGGTGAATCTTTTTCGTCGCTTTTGTCACTTCAGCTGGCTGGCCACTCGTATCTTTAAAATATCTTTAAAGCCTCTCCGTGGAGAAGCATTGTTTTCTCAAAGAAAATGTTCTTGCCTCAGTGAGGCTGCAGCCTGGGTTTCATAGTGAGAACCACGCTCGTTCTTCTCCCAGGCGCAGGTTTCCCCGTTCCTGCAGCAGGTGTTCATGCCCCTCGTCCAGGCGATATTCGAGGTGCTGGCTCGGCCGGCCGAGGAGAACGACCAGACGGCCGCTATGGAGAAGCAGATGCTGAGGAGGAGCTACTTCGCCTTCATACAGACGATTGCCAGCTGCGGGATGAACGAGGTCATGGGGAACCAGGGTAAGGAGAAGAACGGCGATGTCTCTGCGAGCTGCACGTGGCTTCTCCCAGACCGGAAACTTGAGATGCTGAAGCTGCTCCCTCTTCTTCAACTGAGGAGCGGGAGACAGAGCTGCGCACATTCAGATATATTCAGCGGCGCCCTGGGTCTGCCTCCAGAAAAGCTGCTGAAGTTTTCTATCCCTTTTTATAAGCTATAGCCTCATGATGTATGTGACAGGTGGGCTTGTTTCAGGCTCAGGTGGTTTTCATTCTGTTTTTTGAAGTTGATCCCTTCTTCTCTACCAACCTTGTGAGGAGCAAGCTTTTTACCTAGTTAGTTCCTACTTATGTACTTAAACAGACTTTTTGGCCCATTTCAAAGACTGATGCAGAGCTGCATAAATAACATATTCCAGTTATTATTCCACACATTCCACAGGACAATTAAACACACTATCACGTTGAATGTGTGACAGAATATCTGTCCCACCCATTGTTATTGTTCCCAGACCTTCAGACAAATAACAATATCCATAGAATCCAAGTGTTCCATAGAATTTTGCCATAAATGATTTTACCAAATTGAAGGTTTGGGTTTGTCCGGCTTTCCACTCTCTCCTGCACAGCATGTTTCTTGAAAGCTCAGCACTCTGTTTCATCTCTCTCTGTTCTTCACAGGAGCTGAAAACATCGAGCGCGTCCTGTTCACCATCATTCAAGGAGCAGTGGACTTCCCGGACCCCGTTGCGCAGAAAACCTGCTTCGTCATCTTGTCGAAGCTGGTGGAGCTTTGGGGCAAGTTGTGCTTTTTCAGGCTGGGATATTTATGTTGAATTTTACATTTGAGAAAAAAACGCTCAACAGCAAAAACAAATAGGAAGGATCACAAAGCTCAGAAAAGAACAGAACCAATCCCTTGTACATAAAATTAGTTTTTTTAGTAAGAGTACCTTATTAAGCTCTTAGTAGTATATGGCCTGCATGACTGTGACATCCCTATAGAAACCATTGTTTTTGCATCAGATGGGTAGTTACCATACCATTATGGGTCAGGGTTATTTATATTGCATCTGTAAGAGATTCTGAGGGGGGAAAAAAGCTTAAAAGCTGAAGTCTATTTTAAATGAGAGATTCGTAATCTATTCTGCTTTAAGCGTGATAGGTTTTGGAAGTTATAACAGGTATAATCATTTCAAGCTGCAGAAGAGTAACCCTGCTGTTGCCTGAGTTAAAAAGTGTAACTAATAATGCCGACTGGATTTTTGTTTTTGTCATCGACAGGAGGGAAGGATGGGTTGGTGGGATTCGTGGATTTCATCTACAAGCACATTGTTCCTGCGTGCTTCCTGGCACCGATGAAGCCAACCTTCGATCTGTCCGACGCGCAAACCGTTTTGGTATGTTCAGTAGTTCTCTCGGGCACTCATACCTGTGTGCTAGCTTCTGCCTCGTTTGAAACTCAAATGTCAGAAATACTGTTATATACTGTGTATAGCAATCTTCATCTTCTAAATGCATATTTAAGAATATCTCTCTTCTAAACAAACATTTATAGTGACATAAGCAATTGAACAGCGATTTATAAACAATCTATTGAAATGTGAACTTTAACATTTTATATTTGCTTTCAGGCTTTGTCAGAATGTGCTTTGACACTGAAAATGATTCATCTCAAAAGGGTAAGATTCATTTTCTGTGAGTTTAGTTGGAGACTTGGTATTGTTTAAAATTCTGTCAAGGAATTGTCAAGTGACTTGTTTCCCTCATGGAATTGGACATAATCTTCAACTCCGGTCTTTAATGAAAGAAGCTATTTGTTTATATATTTTATGTAAACAAATGAAATACCAGCATTACCAGCTTTCAGCCTGATTCAGTCACATTAGAGAAGCTAATCAAGGCTGGGCCTGCTCAGTACAGGGATAGGAGACCTCTGGGCTGCTTCTATAAGTGGTGTAGATGGAACGCTATGTGCTGTTCTTCCCTCTAGATCGCAATTTCTAAACAAACAAATTTCCAATATAGAGAATAGTGGGATTTTTGAGTTCCCTTCTTCTGGATGAGTTATTACTGATTATTAGTATAAATATCTCATTTCACTGTTCATAAAAGTAGGGGTGTTAACCCCAACTGTCTGGCTAAATTCTTTTGTACAGTTTGGCTTTTTAAAATTTCCCTCTTAATTTAATTGGTGAAACAGTCTCTCGCTTCTCCACCCCTGCTGTAGAGACGCTGCAGCCATGTGTCACCCAGGTGGGACACTTTAGTGGTGGATGAAGTGGGTCCTCTTTTACATGTGAAGTGCTTTGTGGCTTTGGCAAGTAAAGTGCTGTACAAACTTTATTATTTTTAATTTACAGGGACCAGAATTTATTCAGTATCTACAGCAAGAATATCTCCCTTCACTACAAGTAGCCCCTGAGATCATACAGGTAATGATCTTGTTAACAATGTTACCTTTTCATATATGTTTTCTATGTACTAATGAATGTGAAATAAGCATTGCATTTTGTTTAATTTAGAAAACAAATCCTAGTTACATCCAGTGAGTGTATCAGCAGTTATTGTTCACCGTTGTCAGCAGGCAGTTTGCAGATGTGGTTAAACATCTTGTCACACAAGCTTAGTCCATGATATAAAAGGAATGCAGGGCTTTCATCCATGGTCATATGTGTTTTGTGAACTAAGCAAGCCTGTAGTGTAAACAGCAAGAACAAGCTATCCAGGTTCAGCTAATCACGAACAGTAGTGGTTTATCCACGTGAGGGAGTGGATGATTCTCCCAGAATCCCAGAATGCACACCCGATTCATCTGAGTCCAGTCTATCACAGAGCAATTTGGGAAAACAACAGTGTCAAAGAGCCAGCTAAAGGCATGTTGTTGGAAATTGGGAGGATATGAGAGCACATGGAAAGGCCCCACAAGAGGACACATTTTGACTAGAATTCCAAGTGTGGAGTTGAACTCAACCTTGGAGCTGTTAGCCTGCACTGCTCATCACCGGTTTGTTTCAAACACAACGCGTTAGGGAGTGCATGATTAAAAACTCCCACCTCCGACTTGCTTTCTGCTAGTCTACAAGAATTAGCTACGTTTCCAAAACTGGAACTTCCCAGTCTAGACAACCTTTTTACACTGTCTTACAGAATATCTTTAAATTAATGTACATTCATTTTTGAGCATGAAGCATGTAGCAAATATAATACTAGTGATACAATTACAGGAAATAAGGATTTTTGCTTCTCTCAAATTGCATTCTTTTTCTTATGCATTAAGATGTCTGCAGCTCTAATATCTTATTCTTTCCTTCTAGGAATTTTGTCAAGTGCTTCAACAGACTGATTCGAAAGTGTTTAAGAATTATGTAAAGGTAATTACCCCATTTGTTTTAGGAAAATGGACAAAATAAACCCACTGTGAGTGATGTGCTCTTCCAAACTCAGGCTCTTCAGAGTTAATTCTCTAGCGTACAATTCAGACAGATGCCCTGAGATTGAGTCCACAGCTGTTGAATTATTAAAGCTAAATATTCTGGTTCTTCCTCCTTTAGTGCTTTCTGTTAGACCTTGGTAGTTCTGATAAGACAACAGAATTGTCCATGATGGGTGTGTTTTTGAAAGAGAACAATCAAGGCCTTGTTTGGTAAAATGTTTGCACCACGTGTAATATATTCTTTGTGGCAGGGTTCTTGGTGACCCGCCCAGAAAATAGTGAAAAACGATATAGCTTGTATTTATTGTCAATAATTCGAATTCTTGTTCTGACCTCAGAAGCAGATACAGTGCCAAATAATATATTGAGAATGTTCCATATCCTTACCATATTGTACCAACGTTTTAAAAGAATCATGGTGCATTTTTTTGCTAGATACCAACATCTTATTTTAACCTTTATTAAGCATTTTGAGAGTGCACCATGAAAAGGCATCTGTAATACATCAATGACCAGCAACGTGTAGAGGAGGTGGAGCTGCAGGAGACAGGAGGACTAATGTCTTTCAATTCTCTTTCCTCATTCACAGGTGTTCTTTCAACGGGCCAGACTTTAAAGTGGAGGCTTACAGAGTGAGACCCAGAGAATCGCTGAAGGGAGGGAAAGAATGGGTTAACGGTGCCATGTTAAAAACCGGAGTCTTAGCATAGGAGCTGCTTCTGCACTTAACCGTTTGCATAATTAAACCCAGCCTTTCTGTCTGAAGTGGAACCGGTGCAGACAAGGCAAGACTGCACTGGGCAGGCTGCTGTCCCTTATAGGCCGAGGCCTGCTTGACCCCCCCGCTGTCACAGCAACAGAGTCGACAGGCCTGGTATTAAATTCCATTTACCTCATGAGAATGGAACTGTAAAAACTATTAACGATACTAAAAGAAGAAAAAACATCCAATGGTTAAGTCAAGTAACTTAATCCAAATCAAAGCATATACATATAAAAAGAACATTTGAACATTTAAAGGTTCATTTTATGTTTAAGACTGATGAATATTAAATGAAATTAATAGATTGGCTTAAGCTAAGACTTTAGACCTCTTGAAATTGTTTTGCAGGCGTGTACATTATAAGGGAAGGAGAAAGAGGTCTACTTTATTTTTTTTATAAGATAACTTGATTTTATGTACTGAAATGGACACTTTTTGTTAAAGAGTTTAGTAATGATAAATTAAGCTATAACTGCTTATAGCTGTGGCTTATTGTGTGTTGCCTTACATGTGTAACTGTTGTGTTGTCCGCCCAGTAACGTGCATGTCCTGATCACAGTGCATATTGTCAGGTGACACTGAGAAATGAACTTATCCTTTTCTGAAACCTTAGGTAATTACTGGTAAATTATCTGAATTTATTTTGGCTGAATAAACCAATAGAGACTTGTCTGTGGCATTATGTATGCTGTTATATATCTTCACGTTGTAAGGATAATGAAATGTATTCTACCGAGATTCCACTTTGGGTTCCCAACTGTATGTGGAGATTGCTTTTTGGAGATTGCCCCTGTGATGTTTTCCTCTGTACAGAATGAAAAACCACCAACATGTAATCGACACTTCTACCAGTGCATCTTTTGACAAAGCCAACATGCAGAGGAACTGGTCTGAGTTTGGAGCTGCAATGCATAAAATGCCATGTTGTGAGAGATTTAATGATCATTATTTAGTGCTATTATTGAATTGTCAGAGGGTGAGGTATCTGCAGGTATAGAAGCATCACTTGTGAGATATTGTGGCAACTGCAGAAATGGGCATTTCAGCTACATTGGATAATTCCTAAGCAGGCCATTTTTTTAAGTTTGGGTCAGTCTGAAAGTATTAATCACAGGACATTCTAGCAGAAAAGACTGACAAACAGCTGCTGTTTTTGCATGAGCATGAGCTACACCAAATGTGGTAACTTTCTTTGATAAAGGACAGATGAGAAATTTGTCCGAATGTGACGTGCAGATTAAAGTTCTTAGGCTTAGACACAGCAGTGGACAATATCTGCCCACGAAGTCTTCTGTGGCTCATTGAAGGCAGCCTGCATCTCTGCTAGTGGATTACTTAGGTCAATGGATGTAATGAGCAGTTTTGCGCTGGTATTGCCAGTGAAGACTGGAGACAAGATGAAGACAAGCATGCAGCCGATATGCTAATTTATTTTGTTTAAATGGATTTTCGCTTTAGAATTTATTTAATTCCTGGGATTTCAGAAGTTGGAACACAGTAGAGCTCTAAACAACCACTAAACAAGAACAATTGTATAGATGTAAAAATATGCCCTATTTCATGATCCTCCCAAAGCTCATCTACATATTTGTAACACTGGATTGAAGTATTAGGATAAATGAAACGCCTTTTTACACTTCAAGTGGTCATCGTGTGTGGTTGACGTTTTCCTGTGGTGGTTCATCACGGTCATAAAGAAAACAATCTGCTTAATAAACATCTTTGGGGAAAAAAAGATTGTGCAAATAAAGTATCATAATTGCTGCACAGAGAAAACTGCATCAGACTTGTGTAAATGGATATTTCAGTTTGCTGTGTCACCCAGTTAGGAAACAACACATTCACCTACCATGTTGTTACTTGTTCTGCATTTTTTAGAGCTTGTATTATATCCATGTGTATCAAAACAGTTTTCTTTTGGACTTGCTAGACTCTTTATAGGCGACCATAATGTACCAAGATCAGTAATAACATGCAGTGAACAGTTGACACTGAAGAAAAAAAAACAGGAAATGTTGAGTGAATATTTGGTCAGTTTTCTGAGTGAGTGGAGTTGAAATTTATGAAAATTGTGATTAACTGCCTCAAAATGGATTGGTGAACTTGTGTAGTCCCTGCAGGCTTCAGAATTATCATTGCTTCATTATGTGTAAAATTATTTTAAAAATACACGATTGTAGGGTGAATATACTCATGGTGGATTTTTATATAGTGTTTTTTTCTTCAGTTGCATGCATAGGACCATTTGAAACAAAGGGATTTCTCATTTGCTCTTCCCTGGTCATTTTTTAAGCTCTCGGAAAGAATGCCTCTTTCTGTGACACAGGTGTATAAAAGTAGATCATTTAACAAATAATTTAAGTCCAATGAAATGTGAATGAGGTTATTCCAGGCATTCTTGAGAATTTGGGCAAAACATGTCCGACGGCCATGACCACTCTAATCTCTCCGTCTGTGTTCTCAAAGACAGTTTTCTGAACTCATACATCAGAAAGATTACAGAAACCAAAATTATCCTGCAGCTAGGATCACACCCTTCTCTTAATGACAGACTAATTTTCTTCTAAATTTTCTCCATTCATTGGAAGTTTTATTTCACACCTCTCTTCACCTGTTCTGACTTCACACCTCTTGATTGGCTTCTCTTTCTGTCCCCTGCTCCCACCTCTCTCTCCTCCTTTCTCCCAGCCTTTCTTCTCCCGCTACTTTACCTTTGTTTATTGCCTTGTCTTTCTCACACCTGAAGAAGGCTCCAAGGCCGAAACGTTTTCTTCTTTTTTTCAGCATGGAATAAACCTATTCCTTGTTCCTTTGCAGCCTACGCATGCTGATGCAGCTACCCACCTGAACTACCAATAAAGTCTACTAAAATGGCTGAAAAATAAATGTTCTAAATTGTTTTAAATTAATATTTCGATGCTTTTGTATGCATCTATGTTGCTTTGTCCTACTTTATGGGGTATTTTTTTTATTTCATAATCAGGGAGAAGCTAAAATGCCCCTTCCTAGACCGCGGTTCACAATTGCAAAATGACAAAAAACCTATAAAAATCTCTTGAAACAATGAAATACCTACACCGACTGATAGAAGTGACATGCACATGTTCATATTTAGCCATATTTGATAAAAATGTTTTTTCTGTAAATATCTGTCTCCCATAAAAATGGGCAGATAACCAAGGGCCCCCTTTTGACTTCCTGGTTTCGTTGTGTGTGACATCTCATGGTCTGGTAGGTTTTTTATTTTTTTATACATTTAACACAATTTTTCAAATGGCCATGTCACAACCCTAAGGCGTCAACTCCATTGTCTTTTGGATTAAAAAATAAATGTAAAACTGTATTTCAGTAGTTCGAAAAGACCTTTTTATAATAGGCTCTGTAGAGAACGTGGGAGAAAAACTAATGTAATTTTGTCAGCTCCATTCAATGTCAAATCCTTCAGATATTTCGTCGTACGGTGTTGACATCAAGGCTGACGGAGTTGATTATGCACATTTATATCAACTATAATTGTAATATGCTATTAAAATCAGCTAAGAATCTTAGCTATAATTGTTTAGCTTTTTTTTACAACATTGTTGTGGATCAATAAAAACACTAAATAAGACAATTTAGTCCTCCCTTTATATTTTAGGCACACAGGGCTAGACAGGGAATACCAAAAAAGAGAAGGAAGAGAATTAACAGTCAACCAGACAGTAAAGGCTCAAGAATTAGAAAAGGACAGACAAAGATGGAGTAGAGTGTCTGAAGGAAAAATAACACAAATAGGAGACTTAAGTGAGAGAAAGAAGAGAGAAAAAAGAAAGGTGTGGAGTTGCAGAGAGCTTAGCACAAGAAACTACTACAGTTAGCTGACACACCCCCTGACAGTCCACTGGATCAGGGCTCTAATGAACCTGGCTGCAGCAGATAGTATTTTGAAGGAGAGAAGGCAAGGAGAAGAACCAGGGAAAGCAATGCAAGAGAGCTGAAGGACTTCAAAGTGAGACTAAAGAAAATTAATAGAGACAGAAGTATTAAGAAGCAAGGAGAGCAAGGTAAAGTACTACTCCAGCAAAGCAGCTGAGTATCCCAAAACCATGACTGAGAAAATGTTAAGGGGAAGTGCACTGAGAAAACCCTCAATCAAGAGAACTCTGCTTTTCCACAGTACTTTGTGGAAACTTTGTGAATTTAGCCTGAACAAACACAAATCTGAAGCAAGGAGTCGAGCTTTAACTGCATCAGGCACGCTTCTAAAAAATTACCACCTCCTTCATAAGGTCAAAGAATTTGGAATAACTTATAAGACAATGTCAAAGACAAATCAAACCAGACCAAAAAAAACCAACTTTCTTCAACTCCTCACCAAAGAAGTACAAGAATTCTTTCACAACTGCACATATGACAACAGAAAAAAATGACTCGATAACAAGAAACAAAAGAAAGCATCAAAGAGTGATTCTCACAGATTCAATGATGAACCTCCATAAGGAATTCACTACAAGTAATGCCACTCTAAACCTCATCATTTGCTCTGAGACCCTTCTATATTACAGCCGCAAAACCATGAGATGAGATAATGTGTTGGTGTCAACAGCATGAAAATACAGTCTTAATGCTTGATGTTTTAAAAGCATCAGGGTTTACATGATAGCTTCCAGCTAGTGTGCTGCTCCCCAGTAACTGAAGCATTTCTTCTTAGCACTCTTCTTGTCTAAATAAGGAAACATATCTTATCCTCGAGTATGAAAAAATGCACATCCAGTGGAAGCAATGGAAAATAATAATAATAATTGCTTACACTAATATCGCACTTTATTCTGGACACTCCACTCAAAGCGCTTTACAGGTAATGGGGAAGAGTGGAAGACTCCACAGAACATGGAACGGACATGGTTAGTCACCTATGAACCAGTAAATAAAAGTTAAACCTCATATTTCCTGGCAATGAACATTCAGATGTATTCTGAAACTTAAATGGTTTATGTTTTAGTTAGAAATTGTCAGTTTAAGCAAATTAGTCTAGACAGCTTTTGATGTTCTAAGAAGTAAAACAATTTTTGAAATTTATTCTCATCACTGGTCAACTCCATTAAATAATCACCTCCGTCAGAGGTCTTTTTCCAATATTTTCTAGAAAATTACATTTACGACTGCAATATTACTGTTTATTTTGATGAAAAACTTTTCATTTTGATGAACAACTGAAGTATGTCTTTTTTTATATTTCAAGCATGTTTACATTATTTTTTCTCAAAATCAAAGTCTGTACTAGAAAATAA